GGCTGCGTTCAGCAGGGGTTCTATTCTTGAAAAGAAACGTATACGAAAGTCTAAGGAAATACTATAGTATACGTTTCTTTTCAAGAATAGAGCCCCTGAACACATCAGTTTTTATAGGCCTGTTTTCTGTTGCTGAACTAGTGTACACTTTTGGAACTTAAAATGAGAAAGATATGCGTTTGATATTTATTTAAAGCGAGAAAGAGAGTTCTAGAACAGTCTAGTGCAGGAACAGAAAACAGGCCATATGATTCTTTGCTGAGATATGACCATTCCCTTTGAGCTAAAGCATAACCCAATCAGCGCGAAGAAAACTTCCAACAGTTGCAAAATAAAGGACCTGAGCACAATAGAGGAACAGGAATTAGATATTAAGATTTTAACCTATCAGAAACTGATTACATCGGAATACACGGTTTCTGATAGGTTGAAATCTTAATATCTAATTCTTGTTCCTCTATTGTGCGCAGGCCCTAACATTCTGCTGAACACAGTCACTGTATTGGCTGCGATGCTGGTATTGACAGCATCTCAGCCAATAAGGTGGCAAGATTATAATTCAGCTATCAATCTAACAGGAAAACAAGCATCGTGTGTTGCAGGCTTAAGGTGCCTTTTCACGCTGACGCTCGACGCTCATTTTCAGCGTCAAAACAGGTCACATGATCAAAATTGACGAATACCAAGCGTCAATTTTGATCACGTGACCTGTTTTGACGCTGAAAATGAGCGTCTAGCGTCAACGTGAAATCGCACCTTTAAGTTTTTAACTTTTTTTCGCTTTATCGAGCCCATATTTATTTACATTTTCGGTAATATTTAGAATAGTTCTCTCCACTTAAAATCTTAACAAAAATATACTCATTCGACGCATTTTCACTCAAAATGAAAGAATCTGATAAAAAACGCGGCGGTCAGCCTCGTGAATCGAGTTATTAAGCGTTGAAGTTGGAGACTTTAGAGGTTAAGATTTTTGTCCTTTTGATTCGATACAGCGCTATGTATACGTTCCGATTTTGTAAATCTTCTAATTTTGCGTCTGCTTCAATCCTGTAAAAGGGTTTTTTATTCCGTTCAGTCAATTCAGAGATTTCAATCGATTTGTAATGTGTCAATAATTTCATCACTCTAGTACTCCTTTAAGTAATGTCTATACATTATTGTATATTGCAGAAACTATGCCAGTGTGTTGTATAAAACATTGCACTAGTCGTACGTCACATAATAAGACAAAGAATGTGAAATTTTTTCGATTTCCAAAAGAAGCCATTATTCGTCAGCAATGGCTCAAGGCCAGTCAAAGAACGGAATTAGATATCAAACCTTATACAGGTAAAGTTGATATAATTTAATACATTTTTTTAGTTTACATATATACGTATATATATATATATATATATATACTTGATATGTAAAGAATTTTTTAATTTTGTTTAAGAACATATTAGAGTACAAACTTTGAGCATCAATTTTGTTTTTTTAATTTTTTGTTGAGTAAAATATATTATGAATGTATACATATATTAACTATATGTATTAACTGTATGTATTAAAATAAATATATTACAATTGTAGCAATATGTAGTAATCATTTTGATACTGATTGCTTCACAATGGTATGGACAAAACCAAGATCGAAAAATGTGCTAGCCAGAGAAATGCAACGATTAAAAAAAGATTCTATTCCAACAAAAATGTTAATATTAGAAAAGAAGAGGAGAATACTAGAGAGTAAAGAAAATATGAAGAGAAATAAAGAAAGAAATGTACCGTAAGTATTTTCTATATAAATTGCAATTTTTATGCTGTAGAAATAAAACACCTCTTCATATTTTTAAGAATAAGGACTGGAGTACCAACATACACAGAACTTATTGGTTATATACAAGAGAAGCATCGTTTACAGGCGCATAAAGAAATTGTGCAACATGTAAAAGCAGAAACTGCAAAAAATGTACAAAATATTAATATTGTAAATAATATTAATAATATTAAAAAAGTTAACTATATTATAGAAGAAACTGTGCAACATAAGGATTTGATAAATGACACAACAAATATAGAGATGTATGTAGTACATGTTTGTCCACAACATATAATTTATTTAAGCTTTCCACTATTATGTTATTTATTTATATACATATATCTTTTTATAAATCAAATCGTTTTCTTTTATAGACTTGGAAAAGTTAATAATCATGATGTTTTGATAAGAAACGGATCAATGAAAACGTTATTAATGCAAGTCCGAAAATTAGAAGAAGAAAAGCTAGAAGTGTTGAAAGAAAAAGAAATATTGGAACAACAAAATGAACAATTGAGTATGGAAGTCATAAAGTTGCATGCAGGAATAACACAATTACGAACAGAAATAATTAAAATAACAATAGACAGGAAGAAGCAAGCCAATGCAATACCCATCGAAGTTTTAAAGAAAATATTTACACCAGGCCAAATTGCAAAGTTAATGTCGACTAACAACCGCATACGATGGTCATCCGAAGATATAGAATCTGCAATATATCTAAGATCATTAAGTCCTAAAGCTTACAAATACTTAAGAAATGTCAAGAAAATGCCATTACCATCTGCAAACACTTTGCAAAATTGGATTGGAAATAATAATTTAAAAAATGAAATTAATGATACATCACAACAGAAAGCATTATCATAAACATAAACATTTCATAGATTGTTCTATTATTACGTCTGAGTATGTGTATAAAATTTAAGTACAATTCTCTTATTTTATTTTAAAAGTTTAAAAGATTTAAGTTACTTAATTTTTTGTTTTTTTCTTAATTTTTACGTAAAATCATGTTTTGCAGTACTTATTTGCAAATTTTATGATAAAGTAGTATCATCAAAATTTTATATACATATACTAATAAAATACATATTTTAATAACTATTCGTGTAAAGGTTTATTTGAATATTTATTTAAGTTATTTACCTAAAATTGCTGCAAAATATGGTAAATGCGCTGCATAAACCATTCAAAACCAAATAATTTGTTGTTCTTTATTAATTGATTTCAGGACATTATAACAAAATTTCTTGACTGATATTTTTTTAGCTGATATTGTACAGCCACAATATTCTTAATTGTAATATGACCAATAATTATATATAAATTAATAAAATTTTCTTTATATAACATAAACTACAAATGTTTAAAATAAAGTCGAAAGTGTACAATTTCATATCTGAAGACATTCTATAATGTATTGAAATTTTTTAGGAAGTAAAAATAATGTATGAAATTGTTAAAATATTTTATTACAAATCAATGAATATATTATTTGTCGAAAATGTGTTTTATATGGATAACGCACACACTCGTTTAATATTATCTACAAAAATTCATAATTTGTCGTAAAATTAAAAAAAAATTGTGCTTTACATACAATACGTAACATACACACACAAGCAGGCACACACACATATATGTATATATATATATATATTTGTGTGTGCATATGCACTACTATGTACAGTGTAACAATATTGATGGAATTTAAACTTAATGGCGCACTATATGTAATTACAGAAATATGAGACTTTTTGTTGCCTCAATATATTTTTCTTCTTCGCATTCCCTATTATGGCACTCAAGTTTGGTAAAAAGTGGAAGACGATAGTTTGTGTAGCGTTATACTACGAATCGTCGTAAATGTACAAGATGTGCAAATTTCATTAATCTAGTGTGTGTGACTTATTATCAATAAAAATTTGTTCTAATGACTGTATAAATAAATTGATGAAACAGATAAAGGCTAACAGGGAGATAGAAAAAAATATTGATAAATATACTGCTCAAAATGATTAATGGAAAATTTTTTCTTATGAATTTATACGTGATTTAGTAAATTTAGTAGATTTTGAATATTTTTTTCTCAATCAATTTTATGATTTTAATGTTTAATAAACGTGTTACTACACGTATAATTGTATTAAACATAGTATTTTTATTTTTTTGAACACTGACGTTTAGATTTATATATAGAATTTTTTAAAGGAATAGTCTTGTGCTATTGTCTCTTGAGCAGTATATTAAAAATATTTTCAATTATATATATATACACATCATACTGATATGAGTATTATGAAAGATAACACAGTATTTTAAAAAATATTAATTCAACTAATCGTTGATTCTCAAAGTTCGTCATTAAAACGATCAATTTCTTGCAAATGATCACCATAATCTGTCGCTTCGCTACCTACGAAAGCATCATGATGATCCAAGATCTCATTAAAGGATAATCTATTATCGTGATCGTCATCCGAACCCACGAACAGATGATCCACTTCATCATTTGCTATTTCTCTGAAACAAGCGTCAACAAAAAGATATAAAAAAGTGATATCACGTATATCAGCAAAATAAAATTTGCAATACAAAAATTGCTTAAATTTTTTAAGAAGAATATTTAGAAATTCAATAAAACTAGTATTAGATAATCTGATAAAATAAAATTGTGTTAGAATATTGTCACATTAAAATAAAACATATAATTGTCATTATAAATTTAGATATGCATAAATATGGATATCTAAAAATGTAAAGAGACAAATGTAAAGAGAAGGAAATGTTTATCATTATAGATATAAGAGAAAAATTATATTATAAATTAGATTTATAATCATTTGAGATTATTGAAATAATGAAATTTTAATGAAATGTTTTAATACAATTTCAATAAAGATGCATGTTCAATAAAGATTTTCATGTAATGAAATTTTATCACATATATATATATATATATATATATATATATATATAGTGAGTATAACATCACATGTTTTATAGTATACTCACTCATTGCTTGGTACAAGCCACGAAAGAATTTCATCCGAATCAAGTCTACCATCCCCATCCTTGTCATGTTCATAATCAAATTTATCTTTTTCAGTTAACAACCATTCCTTGTCTTTTGATTTGGCTCTGTCACCAATAAACTCCTGGAAATTAATGTATCCATCTCCATCTGTATCTTTGTCAGTCAAGGCTTGCTTCAACAAAAGTGGAAACATTCTAGGTGTCTCCTCAGGATGTGTATAAGCCTTGAATTCTTCTGTATCTAAATAACCATCTTTGTTTATATCTGCAGCCTCGAATGTCTGCTTGTCATCTTGGATTAACTTATCATCAAGAGCCAGGTCTTCAGGATCGTTGCCATAAGTATCTTGTAAAATTTCTTCCCAAGTCACTTTACCATCTTCATTCGTATCAGCATCGTCCAAGCGATCCTCGGATTCTTCTGCAGACAGTGTGCTGTTTACAAAACGGTTTAATTAACCTAAATTCTTTAAGTCCTTGAACAGACAAACATGATATTCAACAAGTTGATACTACCTGAACGAACGCAAGATCCAAGCTTTCAATTCATTTCTCTCTATATACTTGTCATTATTCAGATCCATTTTGGTCAGTAAAATTCCTAATCTTCTCTTTGATTCTTGTATTGGAAGTCTATCGAACTCTTCTGCTTCCTTTACACTCCCTATATACAGGAAATAAAATATTCAAGATGATAAGTATTTACCTAAACAAATTAGATAGTATTTCTTTTATTTTTCTTTGTTGGCAAAAGATCTAATTTTCAGGAAAGGAGCTTTCAGTCTTCAACAAGATAAAGTGATACATGGAAGATATGAATTTACAATTATTATTCATAAACACAAAACCGAAGCAAGTATAAAAGATTCACAAGGACGTCAAAGGAGCTCCAAATGTTAGTCTCGAAAATCTAGTAAGTCCAATCATCTCGTTCACACCTAGAATGGCTTCATGGTCAAACTCTTCATGGTGTTCGCCCTCCGTATAGTGATCGGCATCGCGAGGGCTGAAGGCACCATCCTCCGTCCTTTCATTGTTATCGGCTTTGTTATGTTGATGTGTGTGGATGTGCGCTGAGGCGGTGTCGCTCAAGGTTGGCAGCGATGCAGCAAGAGCGACGACGAAGAGCAGAGGAGCAAGTAGTTGACCGGCCATCACGCGTCTTCCAGCTTCCAATGGAGCGGTAGAACGAGTGAAAATAACGCGCCTACAATGTTTATAAGCAACGTGAACGCATAACCTTGTCACGTCACGTCAGTGCGATCTTCAACAGGCGCCGCACGGCGCTTCGCCGATCGAGTGTCGACTGACGTTCGTTGTTCACTGACGTTCAGTCAGTTCGGTGACTATCACGGAAATTATCGATTACTTTCCATTACGCATGACGCGGTGATAGCACGAGGAAATTTTCATTGTGTCAGTTAATTGTGTCCTGAGGATTATTTTATCAAAGCGATAATACCGGAAAATGTAAATATATATACATAATATATCCCTATAGGCACATAATATAATTTAATATTTTAAACATATTCTTAGAATATTAAATGTACATTTAATATTCTAAGAATATATTTAAAATATTAAATAATATTATGCGCCTATAGGGAGGTGTCCGAGAAACGTACGTTTGCGATATTTAAACAGTTGAAAAAGATTAAATATATATATATTTTTTTTATATGTATATAAAATAAAATATGAAATATATACAAAATCGATGTCGTGTAACTTTACTTATTTCCAACTGGAATCCATTTCTATTTATTTCATTATAATAAGTGTCCAGTTTATTATTTTAATAGTTGTTACTACGAAGTAGATGATTAATTGACTATTATTAATTAATTGTCTATATGTGTCTTCTTAATTTACAGTAAATAATTAAATAAAACTCTATAATTATAATCAGGCAATACGTCGTAAAAGAGTAGCCAGGAAACGTTGCCATTGTATAATGATAACGAATTAAATAAAATAAAAGTCAAAGGATTTTAATATAAATTTCAAAAGATATATATAAGTTAACGCTTTTGTATTTTTGAATGCGGCGCCACACCTGCGCGACAATCGATCGAGTCTCGAGTGCCCTGAATATATTTCTTACCGCGCGAAGTCGTTCTCGCCAATCGCTTTGACGTTGTCAACTTTCGCAGTTTTGAATTTTCACAACTTACGCAAAACGATTTCCGTAATGGCACCACGTGTTGACCCGAATCGCGGAGCCGCGTAAAAAGTTCTCGCCCCTTTTCGCGTTGAGTCCTCACCGACGATCGCCGCGTGTCGTTTCGAATTGTATACGTGAGTCAGCTTCCGTGTTAGTCAAACTCGCGTCGCGTACTGACTCGAGTGGATGCGTTTCGTGTGTCAAAATGTCGCGTGCCGGCAACGGAAGTGATCTCGCGCCGGACGGTTGCTTCTTCAGTCGTAACGCGTGTGCGAAGTCACGATCCTGCTATCCGGGGGATGAGGCTCATGCCGAGCGGCCGTTCGAAAATAGGCTATCGACGTCGCGTATCATCGCGTCTATTTTCGACTTCATGCGAGTGCGCGCACGCGCGCGCGCGCGCGCGGCGAGCCAACCGATCCTCTCAAGCAAGCAAAAGTCAAAAGTTTCTTTATTTAAAGCGCCGGATCGATAAGGGCGATCCAGATGAACTCTCGTTGCGGCCGGGCGCGTTTGTTCCAGCATTGCCTGATGTGGCAGCTCATTTGTCGTGGAAACGGTTATTGGTGAGTGCGCTTCTATCTTTTCCTAATTCGGGCACAACGATGTCAAACGTTACGATGCTCCCGATATTACATTGTCGCAATATGTCTATAAATTAAAG